ATAGAGAAAAGCATCGTGCAAGGAGATTTGCAATCATTCACAAACTGGAAATGCAATACGCATCCATGACAGAAAAGTCTTTTACTGGAAACGGTGGTCAACGCATTAATGCGAAATACATTTGGCTATTAAGGACGTTTTCTTGTAACAGTCAAGTTTAAAAATTTACTTTTGTGAAAATATTTGATTGAAAGCATTGTGTAAATTAAAAAACTTTCGAAGATGATACATAATAATTAGAATATAACTAAACTACAGGAAAATAGTGAAAACCTATAAATTATAGGATGCCATAAACTTTTGCACAGACTGTACCACTTTGTAGATATGCTATTAGTAGGGCAAAAAAATCTCGATAACTATAACTTTTAAATAGGCACCGGTACCCAAGCTTTTATTATAGAATTAGATACCTTATAATCACTAAAATAAGTTAATAGTTTTTAAAAAATCTAAATAAAATTGACATTGTAATCAAACGAAACGTACTGCGTAAATTATCTGAGCCTATCTAATCCATGTTGAGAAAGTAAATTTTGAAAAAGAATATCTCGATTTTGAATACCATTGCCAATGTTTAATTATTTTTCCACGTTATAGGTAACATAGAAAAAGGAAGTTATCTTCAAAGTTTACAAAATATCTATAAAAAAGTAATTTTCAAGAGAACATTCTTAAGAGCGAGGCGAATGATATTACATGCATATTATGAAAAATGATCATTTTTTCAGTATGCCGTACGCATTATATGTTGATACAAATACATTACATACATCAATATTATTGATTTATATACTTATATTTTACTTTCAAATATAGACTTAAAAATCAAGAAAGTATGCGTTCTATCATACAAAATTATTTGAATTAATAAATCTATTTTTTTATTGTTATCTGTGTTTGCGTTCAATTTCAGAATTAATAAATCTATTCAGTAAGTTATTACTAATTGATAGTATCTTTATCTTTGTTGTATTTCTGATTTTTCTTTTTCTTACAGGGAGACCACCAGACCAGTAAAGATTGATTTCGATGAAACTTTGAAAAAATATTGCTTAACAAATTTGAAGGCATCAATCTTTTAGCTTTACCTTACGATATATAGGCATTTTTGGAATTTACGGGGCATTATATTCAATAGATTGAAAATATGTTTTCATAATTGCTTGAGCAATTTTCTTGAGAATAGAGAACTAAGCAAAATTTTACTGCAGCATATAAATTTTAAAAGTTCATAAAAACTATTCGGCTGTGACAAATTGCTTATTTTCATTTTTATACAAGAATAACATTGGTGATATCGAGAAATTTGCGATTACAATATATTTTGAACTTAAGCATTATACTGAATAGTATTATTGAAGTGAAAAAAAGAGAAATTCATCATGCATGCGCAGAGATGGATCACAATTATTGAAAATATTTAATTAAATATATTTCAATTAAAATGTACTGAAAGCCTAATTGAGTGGAATATAAAAAGGTAATGTATGTATAAAAAATTCTATAAGAGAAAGCGAGAGAGAACTGGTAACAATAACATGCCTATGCATAACATAATCAGGATTATTAGAGTTGGAGTTTGATAAGCTAGAACTCGTTGAGTCCAGCAAACACGTGCAATGAGTAGCAGAAACTATATAGCCTTATACTTATATGTACATCGGGGTTTCCCTCTAGAGTATCTGCTTTTGGAGGATTAATTCTATTAGACAACCGCCTAACAATAAAATAAAACAAAGGTGAATCGTGGCAGCTTTTGATGAGTTTGATGGAAGCAACATTCGACAAGATATACATCATGATTCATACTGAGATTCATTAGTGAAAATGGAATTAGAAGAAATCAAAAATATATTACACCAGCTAAAAGTTCTTTTAAGCATAGAAGAATAAACGTTTACTATAAACAAAGAAAAATATACAGAGAGAGAGAGAGAGAGAGAGAGAGAGAGAGAGAGAGAGAGAGAGAGAGAGTGCAAAGATTCATATTTAAAACGCAAATTATTTCCTAACTCGAAATTTAAAAGACAATACCTTATTTGTCGAGATTAAATTCTTGAAAAATCGGAAATGATTTGTGAAAATTACAGTTTGTTTTTATTATCGGGTATAATAATTTAAAAGTATTGATTAAACTTTTTACTTTTGGTAATATGGTAATATGTATATTCACAATCATTCATATTTTAATATAATTATTCAACTTTTTTGAAATAAAAATTTAAATATAATTTTGAAATTTCAATATTAAATTTGCTCCCATAAAATAACAATACATTAAGTTTTCTTTGCAAGTGAAATTACATTATTAGCAAGATGTTAAGTAAAAACTTTAGATTAAAGAAACTTTATTCTTTTTCACGATAAAGGATTAAATTCATAATAAGTATACTTGAACTAATCTTATAGAAAGTTTTTCATGCTAATCTCAATTAAACGTTTTTGTTTCAAAGTGTTTCGTATTTTTGATCTAATCTCTTTCATAAATCCGAATAAATAAAACTTTGCAGCTGCACTACAGGTTAATTCAAATAATAAGCATCTATATATGAATATTGATTTTTCTAATTAATATGTAGTAACGGTCATAAATTTCCGAAAATTTTGTGGAAGAAAAGCTATTTTTTAAATTAGAATATCTCCGATTCTATTGATCGTAGAATGAAAATAAAAAAAAGCAAATTTAAGTAGTGGCAAAATACTAACTTTCTATGAGGTGCAAAAATTTTTGAAGTCATTTTTTCTATTATTTATAGTAACAAATTTGTCCTTAAACTCAATTTTCGACTACTATTCCTAGCCTCTCCCCCCCTCTCTCTCTCTTACAGCATGGACCCATCCGATCGCCAGTCGGCACTATTACAAGAGGCGGGATTTCTAGCTTTCGCTATACCAATGTGCGGGGCCGCCTCCCATGTCGGGTCCCATCCTATTGGCAGCCCAGCAGTGCCCACTGGTTTTAACGACTGAACCCTCCAGAATGGAGGCACATACTGGCGTGAAGAGGTCCCCTCTTAGTCACCTTTATCTCCCCATCTCGATTTGTATCTGCTGGAACCAGTCCGTCCGCCTCATTTTCTCTCGGGAGATACTCGTTTATAGAGCGCCCGTCTCGCGTTACCCATTTGAGATGAACCGCTTGTAGGTTATCCTTTATCTCGTTTATTGGTGGTTCTCGTTTATAGAGCCCCCATTCGTACCGCAGATCGGACTTGTTTCCGTGTTAATGTGCGTGATGAGTGGTTGAGCACATCAGCAAGTTACCACTGTCCTTGCGTCGACCGTGAGCCATTGCTTCCTATTGGCCGTGTCCGTTATAGCGTTGCTGCTCAGAGCATTGACGCAACGGACAACGTTGACACCGGGCACGATCGTGGACGTCGGAAGTTAGCATTTGTCCAGTGAAGAGTTCCCACTCACTGGACCCGCCCAGTAATATTATTATTATTATCATTATCATTATTATTATTATTATTATTCATTGTACATGTTGCTATTTTTGCACTATAAAACAATTATTATTTTTGTTGTTGTTGTTGTTTTTGATGTTCTTGTCAAAACCCAACAAGTATTATATTAATCATTTTTTTCAATTTTGGCCTAATGAAGGTGGATCTATTTAAACTGTCTTTTCAACCTTGAAATGACGTTGGGACCCCTAACTAGTAGAATCATTTTGAGCGTAAAATTTTTCGTTCTTTTCATTTCCGTAATCAAAATAAGGGTTTTCTACTAAAACGAAAAGTTGACCTTCATATGACCTTGAAAATGGAGTTTAAAGACAAATCTGTCACCATAACACACTTCCCTCTAAACCCTACAACTTTTGTAGTCACTCTTTTTCCAATTTCTGCAGTTCCAGACGAGTTATTCAAGTGAGAGTGTGTGCATTTAAAATGGGTAAGTCTACATATTACTTTTTGTCAGTGGTCACATGCAATCACTTGTACCTTTTTAAAAAAGCATCGTAGCGGAAAAGGTCGTAAGTAATAAATTTTAGGTTTTTCTTTTTCCAAGATCTTCCAATCTCTATTAGAATTTTTCACCTATCCCTGATGTTTCAAAAATACAAGTAATTGAAAAAATTAAAAAAACTTTGGAAAATTGACACATTTTAAAGTGATATAAATAATGGAAAAAATGACTACAAAAATTTCCGCACCTCATAGAAAGTTAACATTTTGCCACTATTTAAATTTGCTATATTTTTTTATTTTCATTTTACGATCAATAGAATTAGCTATATTCTTGTTTAAAGAATAACTTTTCTTCCACAAAATTTTCGGAAACTTATGACTGATACTGCATATTAAGTAATATTGAAGTTAAATTCATTAATATCTCGCTATGCAGCCTAAATGATAATTTATTTAAAATAATTTGTATCTATAGTACGATACAAATCCCTTACTCCTCTAAAATGCCTTCCTTCAAAGTATTTGGTAGATTAGTTTTACAGCAGCATGCCCAAAATAAAATGCTATATGTAAGCTATAATTTTGAAGCTATAAAGGTGTATACAATATTAGTAATATTTAATGTAATTTCACTGCTCTCTTACTCAAATAAGGTTGAGAGGCAAACACATAACTAAATAATGAAACTTTAAACGAATTTAAAAATTAAGACAAAGACTAGTACTATAAAGTAAAAATTACATACTCTTTATGAGAGACACAGAATGTTTGAAGAAAGTGCACTCAAGGACGTCTTGAGACAAAGTCGAGCCTAAGAGGTAGACAGCGCATAGTAAGGAAGCACTCTGTGCCGCTCAAGTGATGAGCGGCACAGAGCTTAGCTGTTCAAATAGGCATTTGTGCGTGTAAAGGCTGGGATATTCAAACGACGCTTAATAAATTGAGAATGTATAAAGTTGCAATAAAATGAAATTACCACTAAGTAGGTTTTCACTGTAGAAATGAAATTTACATTACTACATATCTATAAAAACGGAGTTAGCAAATTATGAAAAGGTAATTTTAGATACGATAACTTACCAAACCATTGCAGGCAGACAAGACAACACGGGAATCAGGCTGATCTCGAATAACACCTCGATAGTGACAATGATGTTTCTGAGGTACACGGTGATGTACTGCTCGTTTCCGCCTTTCAACAACCATATTTTGACTGATAAAGTCGCTAACCGGAAGTAGCTCAAGATGATACTCTTGACCTTCGATCGCCAGTCGGTAATGTACTGCATGATCATCATTTTGTTTTTGATGGTGATGAGTAACATTATATGATATTAACTCCCCATGTGCGGTCACCTTTCGTGGGTAGACGATCTCGTGTGAGTCGAAAAGCTCCTCATTTGTATAAAGTCCTAAAATATGTAAATTCGATGTTAATCCAGCATTTTGTTAATATGAAATAAAACATTATTTTTTAACCTTTATTCTTATATTAGTTGCCACGCGAGTATCGCTGGGTTAAGCCCTTACTTTTTACATTTATTTTATCCAATTGTTTTATAATCTGTATATACTATTATATATAGTAACAGTTGAAGATTTATTGTATTTATTTAATTTTGAAACAAAAACGATTTTATTTAGAGATATGTTAACAAAGTAAGACGGCAATATTGCTACTACGAGTGATGTCAGAAGCAACAACAAATAATAAAATAAATTATTGAAATGATTAATCTTAGAATTAAAAAAAATATTTTGATCATTTTCAATTGATCTACGTTTCTTTCATATAGTTAAAAATCTCATGACATTCAAATAGTTTTACTATCACTCTATACTGTTATAACAAAGTATATTTATTCCATTTTTAAAAATTAACGAGTCGTCGACATTCAGCGTTGTGATTGGTTGATACTAAAAAAGAGCGCAAAATATTGAATTTCCGTATATTTTGACATATTTATTATATCTAGAAGAGTAAGATATATTTCAACAGCCAATTCAGTTATAAATAATTAATATGGATAACAATCGACAAGAATGAAAATATGCCGTTTATAAATCGATTTAAGAATGTTCACGGGTGTTTTCAACGAACAATAAGTGCGAATTCTTTGTTTATTCATTAATGAATAACGATGGATGTAATATACTTCAAATAGCATGATTTATTCGTGCCCCTTATAATCTCCAAGTAGACATGTTAATAGGTTCAAATAGTACGGAAAAATATAGAAAAAATAGTGTGCCAAATTACACTAGAATCATTAAAAAAGTCAAATTCGGAAAAGTACATCTTCATAAGAATGTAAGAAGATTCATAAATATCGTTTTAGTAAAATAAGTATCGAGAAGGATATTCGCTATAAATCTTGTCATATCTGCCTATGATGTACGTTCCTAATTATATTCAGATTACATGAAGCATCCATTTCTCGCATTTACACTCACGCCTGCGCGTACGCCCGTATACATATAGGGGTGCTTGCATTATCAGCTCACCCGTATACCCACATCCAAATTGAATTAAAAATCAACATTTAAAAATATTGTCAATTACACCAAGTATACACCAAGTAAGCTTATACCAAGCTATATATATCGTTACTTCGTGATAGAGTTCAATATGATATTTGGAAAAAAGAAAATTATGGCAACTTTTCAGCGAAAACTATTTTTATTAATATACAAAGTTAGTTGAGTAGATGAATCTCTTATTCACCATAAAAATGTGTGATTTTTCTGTCGATATATGTAAAAATATTGGTTTAGATGTAATTAAAAATAAAAAAAAGACAAATGAAATAAGTAAAATTTCTGTACTATTTCCAAACTCAATCAATAAACTTATTCTTAATAAGATATATATGTATATTATGGAATATATATGAGGTGGATACTATCAAGAAATCTTGCATATATCTTCTGGCTTATTATTTAAAAAAATGAAATATTAAAAGAATATATTTTCTTTTTTACATAATTACTGCAACTTTGATGTATTTATTTCAATAAAAAATGTATTTCATTTACACAAAAAAAAATTATTAGCAATTTTTTTAAATTCAAAATGAGTAGATAAATTAAACCAGAAAAAAAAGTTTGTAGTGATGTAAATTAAATATTCATACATTCGCATGCATGATGTACGTATATGTCATCTTCTCTATTGACCGATTATAGGAACAAGAAGTTCATTGGTCATTACGGTGTATCAGACCACGGATGGACGCTTCGTCTATGATTAGGCGGATTCGCTTCGTGAATCTCCCGTGAGACGCCATGGTTAACGTATTTTCTTCTGCGCACGGCTGCAAACTTGGCGCGTCCTTTTACAAACCTGCTCACCGACTACGAGCTGCTATAGTCCATATTCGCAGTCTCGTAATTCGAGCTCTTCAAGGAGACGGGTTCGCATTCAGAGGCACCGAGCAACATCATCATCGAGTTTGCAGAGTCCTCACCGTGACTTGAGGGAAGTAGGAAAAGAAGGAATTCCATGAAGAAGACTATTGGCCGTCATCACGCCACAAAAATCTAAATTAAGTGCCTCGTATTCGGCGCGTCCTGTTTCAATTCGTATACTGTACGTTAAGGGCTTAGTTCGTTGATTTCGAGTATTTCCGCGTAAATGTAAATTCTCGCTTATCATTAAACGATAAGATGTAGCAAATTGTATATTACTTTAATAAATTGACAAGTCTGAACCATTGAATAATGTCTATTTTCTTGCATCAATTCACCCGTTATATATTAATTACTTAAAATAAATGTTACAAGTTATTTAAAACAAAGCAAGTTATGATAGAAAATTCACTTGATGATGTTAGAATCAAGAGTTCGAAGGCTGAGAGTTTAAGTTTCGTATAGAATCAAGTTCTGGTAATCTGACAGATAGAGACGCTTGATTCTAATTATCAGTAAGTTAATTACAATATATTATCATTATAATATTATATGCATGATGAATATGACTAATTATGATATCAGTAATTATTTCTCATATCAAATAACATCTGACCAAACGTGTGTAAGTACCACGGATTATTTAAACTTAATGTTAAATTCTCAACTCTACTGGATAAGTGTGAAAGAAATTGCTTTATTTGAAGAGTCGTTTTATTAATCTGAGAGGACTGGGATTACGTCATGGAAGAAAAACAAGCGAAAATTCTTTATGAGATTTCGTTAGCTATGATCTGTTAATTTTTTCAAGTATTTATTGAGATATATACGTCAATTTTCGATAAAACACTTGATAAGTTGGCAGAACATAGTTAACGAAAAGTCGCAAAGAATTGTACTTCTTTGTATTCTATAAGAACTTTCTCTTTTCAGATCGAGATAAGTCGATTCACCAAATCTCAAACATTTTCTTTATACTAGTACATAAAGCTATCATGTATTTTACGTTTCTCTTCGAGTTAAACTTAAAAATTAGCAAATAAATCAATATCAATGTAACTTTCACAGAACTTTCTTACAAATACCTGGATTAATATAGGTTATAAAAATATATTATTTATACTAACATAATAACGAGAGAGTTAGAGCCTCTCTCTCTCTCTCTCTCTCTCTCTCTCTCTCTCTTTCTCCGTCTCTCTGTCTCTCTGTCTCTCTGTCTCTCTCTCTCTCTCTCTCTCTCTCTCTCTCTCTCTACGGGCAATGAATTCTTATTCTTATTTATTTACACATGAGATATTCACTTAATTCTATAAATAAATCTATAAAATTGTCAAACAATAAACAAACAATCAATCTTTTTTGGACACTTTTATATATATGTGTATATATAAAAGTGTAATATACATATGTATATATATATATACATATGTATATATATATATATATGTTTCTATGCAAAGGAGCGTCGAACACTGATTTTTTGAATTACACGTGAGCGGAGCTGTAGGAGGTATATATGTGAAACGTAAATACAATATATGTGAAAAATTTTAAGCTCTGACAAATAAATATAATTGAATGAAATGATTAATTAGAACTTTTCTATAAAACTTAATAAAGTATTATCGACAGGCAATAACAATAGAAAGACAGCTTGACTTTTGAAACAAAATTTTGTTAAACAAAATATTAAGTTCATTACAAAATTAAGATCAGCAGAAAATTTTTTTAAGCAGCACGTTAGAGGATGAATTCAATCAATGCAAATTTTTATATACACTCGCACATACACACTACTAACACGATCTACACGCTTTAAGTTTATTCAAGTTGCGCTTTGCCTGGCACATTGTATGCTCGTGCAACATTTATTTTGCTTAGCCTTTTTAGCCTGTGCTCCTATTTTAACGATATATCCTGGTGACGCAATGGACTGATGCGTGGAGTCGCAAGCTCGCCATGTCAGCAATTAATCATGCAGTAGGTGTGTAATAATATAATGTGTGTTATGAGGTAAGCCTGATGGAAAATAAACGATAACGTAAAGAACAAATGATTTCATGTACTTAACTTTTAATATGACACTCAGATTTTAAAATTTAACGATTAATCAATAGCCTAACAATTTTTTTCGTAATTGTGAGATTCTCTATACAAGATTTAATATTTATTATTTTTATGAAAAGTATTGTTTGTACGTGCCTCTGGAATTTTCATATTTTTAAATTATCTTGTTTAAATTTTGTGTCTATGATTATTTTTATTGTATCACTGGAGTGCTATATTTGTCTGACTGTATACTATCTAATTATGCAGTTTACTATGAAGAAAAGTAATGAATTATTATTTATATTGAACTGTGACGGAGAAATTGTAGTTTCCGAAACATATTGCGAACAAAATGTATCATTATAGTATTCAGCTGCCACTAAATCAGAAAATATACTATTATTAACTTAAACGCTATGTCTCTGCAAAAATGTAAATTCATTTTGTCATTGCTGAGGTAGTTGTCAATTCTCGTATTTTGATATTAAGAAAATGATTTCGGCAATATTTTATATTTTTAGTTGAGTTTGATTCTATGAAATATTTCGAAGTGATTTTGTCATAAAGTTTAGTTTACAACTCGCTTATAATATTACAAAAATACTGTTGAATTGATATTTGCCGCATGACTATTCCGCACAATCACTAATATTATTTAATATTTAAGGTCTTAGTAATTTTTGGTAGCTCGTAGTCGTGCAGCTATACTTTAATATATATTCATAATATTAAGCACTTTCAGTTTTGTACATAGGAATAAATACTTTCTTTGAGACAAAGACTTTTTAGTATTGAAACTATTGATTTATTGATTCATTTATTTTGATTCACACCACTTTATATTTAAGACATAGGTACAAACACACATTGGTATACACACAAAAGATACGAGGTAGTAAACGATTTGACGTGAACTACAATTATTTGATAAGAATTAAATACAATTTAAAATTAATTTAATGTTAAAATTAATAATTACAATTATTTAATATGAAAGTATATAATAATATCAAATATAAAAAATGAATTTAGAAAGGATCTAACTATTGAAGGTTTAAGCCATTAAATTGTTATATGTACAGCGTTATCTACGTAATCATTTTATTACTGTCACTGTAAATTCTATCAGTTAATTCTATTTTACGAGAAAACAGCTAAAAAAAAGTCAAAAATTGTTATTAATTTAGAGCTTGATAAAAATTATATACTTAGATTATTTTTAAATTCTTGTCTATAAAACTCATAATAATAATAAAAATTAGAATGAATATCGAATAATCGTATAGTGCTTGATACAATTTAAAATCAATATTTATGTGCAATTACCTTCCATAGTCTCTTTTATGATTACTCATTGTATATACTCATAATTCGAGTTTCTTAAAATACGATTATAATTTAAAAAGTTGCATGATATTTTATGCTGGCAAACTAGCATTAGAAAGTAATTTTAAAAATTTAGAGTAACTTAGCCAAACCTACTGAGAACTGTAGAATTTGTTTTTGTGGAATTGTATGATTTTGAAATCTGAAAGTTTAAAACTAGTTACAAAAGGATTTAAAATATTAGGAAACTAAAATCTCAATCAATCTAAAGTGTTCATTAAGTCACAATAGTTATAGCTTCTTCTACATTACATATCTTTTGGATTTAAAAAATAAATAAATGGAACTAACCTAATCAAATAGTTATTATTTTTAATATTATGCCCATTCAAGTTTGGAAAATAAAAATAAATCATGACAAATGCATCATGACAGCACTTTAGAAGCAAAAATGTATGTCGAAATAATATATTAAACTCCCAGAGTAAGAGATTTTTTCTGGCGATACGAAGCAAAAGGGAACTGCCACGTATTGTGATTGATTTGCCACTGGGTGAAGTCGGATGTTAGAAGGACGTGAAAAAAGTAGATTCTTGCCTGAGACATATACTATCGCAAGCATACTGAGTTCTATAAAGGAATCCGACTAAAAAATGGATCAAGTAAGATCTAAGATTACATGGATTGCGAAACTATTAAGCGATGACATACTGATGACGTCATTGCGAGTTTTTTACTTGTTCACAAGAGATTTATTCGTTTTATGTTTTAATACACGTAGAAAATCTGTAATACTAAAAGAGTTGCGTAGTTGAAGTCGAGATCAAAATACTTACAAATTTTCATAATAATTTATTTCTTTAGTATTCCAATTTGCTACAATTTTTTTTACAACTCATATAACTCTTTGAAGACTATGACACATTTTATTTAACTGAAAAGTTATTTTATAGAATAAATAGGATATATTATGAATAAATAAATCATCTATTGTATTGCTTGTGTATAAAAATCAATATAAAGTGGTACTTAAGCTATATATATATGTATGAAAGTATATTCTTCCCCGATCTAGTAATAAATAAATCAATTTTCAATATAGTCGATATATTATAGTTTATTGCATTCTATACAATACATACTAATGTACAGAAACTAAAATACATTATATAAGAAATAAATATGAAATATAATACAATTATTATCGAGTCGATTTTAGCAATGGCTTCATATGCGTACCGCATGAAACAAAACGAGCAATAAATAAAGCACAGACATGACAAGCCAGTTAATTTTATCTGCTAAACCAGTTTGCCACTTATCAGTATAGCAAAATTAGCTGCAGTCTGCGCCGAGCACTTGAAAGGACTTTGGTAAAAAGCATGCCGCCACGCAGCCGCGTCTCCAAGTGGAAAATGTCGAGAACAAGTATTGCCCTAAAGGAGAAGAGGGGGAGCGTGGGCGCGCGAAAGTGTCTTTGCTACGCTTTTCAAAAGATTACCGACAATCGTGAGAAATACGTCTGCACGTAGCCCTCGCACGCCTTAACACCATCCGATTCAGGATTTGCGCAAATCCAGTGTGTCTGTCCACAAGTACATTAGCTACTAAAAAGAGTAAAACTAAGAGAGCTGAATAACAAACAAACTTTATCGTGTGATTTTGTTCAGAAATAGGATTTATTTAAAGTGAATTCAATGTTGATAAATTTTTCGTGTATACGGTATAATATAGTAGAGTATAATGTATACTATGGTATACATTTATACATTCATACATACATACTCACACGCGCGCACACACACACACACACACACACACACACATGCATATATGGTATAATTTACGATGGTAGAAGTTATGAACATATGGATACAAATTTATGTTAATTTAATCATTAAAACATATTTATTTCTGTTATTATATAGTCGTCTTCTTACTGATACAAAAAATTTTATTTCCGACACTTCTTTTAACATATGATTCGATATCATTTCCTAACAAATATGCAGAAGAGTTTAAGGTTTACAACTATGCAGTTGTACTGAATAAGGATATGTTACATTTGAGAGTACATTATATTTGAAACGCCGCATAACTTGACATTTTTAGATCAATTTCAAATACTTTTTACTATATCACTTCCAGAATTAATATTAAAATATAAATAGAAGTAAAGTTACAAGTGTTACCTATGATACAAATGTTCACATATAAATATATTTCTAATTAAATATACGTGTGCAACATTTTAGCAAATTCTACATCACATTTCACATTATTTAATGCTTGCAATCTGCTTTTTTGTTTAACAAGAAATTTTAATTACTCTATTAATTCAAAAGAAGCACCGTATTTGTTACGAAAGAATCTGCACGTAATATTGACTTTGCAATATACTAAATACTTTGATATTCAAATTAGAATATCAATACTCTGTAAACTAATAAAATAAATTTATAGGCTAATCTCTAGATAAATTTTAATTTTTTAAACATTACCACTGAATATTTAAATAATGCAATGAGATGAACGTAATTTGTGGACATGATCATAAATTTTCTAATTTTAAATTTTCTGATCGAAATCATAGCAACCTCGCTAATTTTTATGCATATATTGATATTGTATTGAATTGTAACTATAAAAGACCATACCAGAAGGTTCAAAAATTTAGTCTACTAATTATTTTAGTTTATTTTCATGCATACAATATTCACGTGAAAATATTACTGATATACATTAACAAGAAAAAGATAGAAAGTTTTTTATGGTAACGGTGAGGATTATAAATAAATACAATAGTACTTTTTCCAGTATCTAAATAAAAAATTTATGTATACATTTCAGATAGCATGAAAAAACTTTGGGATTAATAAAGCTTTGTAGTTCAAAACTTACATATTTTTCTATAAGGTCAGCTTTATAGCGATATTTACGTCCTTGTCTGAGCTTCAAGAGATAGAAAACAAAACTGAAAATATTGCTAGCCAAAGATTGTCGCAGTCCTCGTTAAATTCGAATTGCGTCATTTATAACACGCAGCACGACACTAACGGTCATTAAAAGTAAAGGATTCTTTATCGAGCTACTTTCGCGCTTCTTTCCGACTTTGGTGCATGAAACGTTAATGTACAATCCAAACATGAATTCTGACTTACGTGCAACTATTGAAATCGAAAAATATCTACTATGGAAAATTAACATCTTTTTCTATATTTCATCCTTCACTTATTTTAAGGTGACTTACTGAAGAAAATCCCAATTTCTTTATTCTACATGTTTGCTCAATTTATTTAAATTTATTTTATTTATTTTATAAGCACATAAACTTTGATAAGATGGATTTAAAAACATTTATCTTATAAAATAGAATAAGTGATTATAGGGGATAAAATGGTCAAATATGCTTTTGAGCCATCAAAAAAAGTACATATATCGTTATGTTCAGTATATTTAAAAACTCTTTTTACTAGATTTTCAGACTCCTAGATATACCTAGAATGAATAGGTAACATTTTGTGTTTGGGAATTTTTTATTGACATTTTTATATTTATATAATGCTTCATAATACAATTCTGGTCACAGAAGCGAGGCCTTTCGGAAAATCAACTACTTAGTACAACAAATGTAATTAATAACTTTGTGTGGTACTTGTGTTCTAGCAATTGTTATTTTCATTTTGCACTTTTATTTGTAAAAATATCGAAGTTATAGAAGCGATTGTTATTATATTAATAACAATATTATAATAAACAATTATTATATTAATAATAAGAAAATAATGTAATTCTTTCAAGATTTATCGAAAGGAATCTTCTGTATTGCAGAAATTCATAAGATTAATGTTTTCAAAAAATTTTGAATATATTAAACTTACCTCTAGGTCGAAATGATGATAAGTTATCCACCGCATAGACGATATTTAGTACAAGAGAAAAAATGAAAAGGTGCATCCTTTGGAGCATGGTTATCGTCTATTAAAATACATCTAGTTGTTAAATCTTATTTTTTTCCGCATCTTCGATTTTTGATTGATTAAAGCTATCTGAAACACAATACGATATCATCAATGTCAATTCAGATTTAAAGTATACTATTTGTTATAATGAAATTACTAAACTGTACTAATTAGTTTGATTGGAAAAAATTAATATTTGATAAACTATGAACAATAAGATTATTGGAAATAAATGATAAGGCGTACTTAAAAAGAAACAGCACAGTGCCATGTAAAAAATTTACACGTGTTTCGTGATTAATTTTGAGCACTTTTTGATGTATAATATTTTTTCCAATATTTGATATTTTTTGAGTAAAAAAATCGTGAAGTTTTATTTTACATTACGATACAAAAACCGCCATATTTTTTTTCTAGTCGATATTTTTGAAAAAATCAAGTGCGTTTGAAAAATTATCATCTTATGTCGCGAATAAGTTATTTCGAGAGTATTCTTTAAGGATCCTTTCTTTTTGGCAGAGCGAAAATCGAAAAAATTTCGACTTTTTCCAAAAAAATCGGCATTATATTTTTTTCTGTAAATTTTTTGAAAAAAAACTCAGTGATTTTTAGAAAGAACATATATTAAATTAAAAGGAAACTAAGTTTCATCAAATTCATTGAGAAATGGATGAATGACATAATGTCAAATCGAAGTATTGCAACTATGGACGTTTGCCACTTAATGTGTTGAAAAGCTCAGGAATTTTTTAATGTTCTGTATCAAATCCAAAAGCAATCGGACAAGCTGTGACGATATAACTTTTTTTTGGAGATTGTCATCTAAAAATAAACTAATTCATTTTTCTTAATTATACCACAATTGCTTCGAGAAGACATTAAATTATAAGTTGAATTTTTTGTGGTTTCGATAATTATTCACAAAATAGCAGTGTTTCAAATCTGTGTAAAAAATTTACACTTTCTCCCTATTTTTTACCCATTCGATGGCTACCATAATTTTTCAATTTAATAGATTTCAATTCTGAAAGATCACTCTACGCGCAATATGTCTAACTTTCGTGCTATTTATTAGCGATTTTTTTGATAAAACTATGTAGTTAAAAAGTCATAAGACCAACTTTCTTAAACTTATCATATACGTGACCATTCACTTAGAAAAACAGAAGCCTGTACTATCTAAAACCAATCCAATCGATCCGATAACATGCACATAAGAGATTGAAAATCTCGAGCCATAACTAATGAACCACCCGTTAACAGTTCCTAGCCTTGTTGTGTGTACTCGCATGAACGAGACAATCTTGCTGCAATTTATCATCAGCATTGATATTAAGGGATCTACATCTCTCTTTTTTGTAATCCCACCCCTACTACTACGAGATCGTGTATAAAGCACAAACATTTTCCATGCTAATGAAACAACGTTCAATTTGCGATGAGAGATAGATAGAGAGAGAGAGAGAACGAAAATCGTTTTGCTATCTTCTCGTCATGCTTCGCCAGTTGCAGACTGTATTTACGGTAATTGGAATCTGTTCGAGCGTGCGCCAATGATCGACGCTGACAACGACCTAACAGCAGAACAGAATAATCTTGGTTCATTCTTTTTCTTTCCTTTTTATATTTGTCTTATGTCTCATTGGGAAGCTTAACTGGTTATGTCTTGCTGATGGCGCCAGAACTTTCGTTGCCTCTCTCATTCTCCGCAATTCGTATGCCATTAACCAGACTGGTCAATTGATATTTGAGTACACACGTATCATATTTTAGGATTTATGTAGCAATCTCAACGTTTCAAAACTTGATTCATGTATATGCATATGTTTGTAAGATTATTGAAACTTATATAAATGATTTTCGTATTATTTATTTCATGAATCTGCTACTTTGACGCTTGATCAGAATAAATTAATGAAGTAAGTTCATTGAATGACTTTATAAAATATATTGATGAAAGAAAATTAATATCAAAACATGTAATAAATACTGAATAAACGAGATTAAAAATATTTTTCTTTATTGTATTATTATTACTATATTTATGCAAATCTTCAGTAAAAAAATCTTAAATCATATATATTTTTAACATTACATTGTCAAATCATGACGAATATATTTTTGTTTCAAAAATAATATAACATACCACTTATCGTATATAAGACCGGATATATAGTATGACATAAAAAGGAAAAAAAAATGTATAACATATCCGTTACAGTTAAAGCACAAAATGTAATATGTGGAACTTTTATAAAACCTTCCGATAATCCCTTCCGGTAAAGCGAATCTGAGAGAGGCGTGGTTGGCGTGAAAGGAGGAAACGGTTCGGCCCACGCAAATTGATAAATGCGTTATAATTAAGACCGTTTCATTCGTACCGGGCGCATTACCGGGGCACAAGTGCCCGTTTCCAGGCTGGAATTTGTCTTCTACATCACGTGCGCCGAGTGACTTTTCCGCCTCGACGCGGCAGCTATATTAATGGGCTGCCTCAATTGTGGATAAATTTACAGTCATTCGTTTCGCATTCCTAATTAAGATGTTAACTGTTATTCATGTAGTTGCGCCGATTTCGTGTTATATACGCTATTCCCTGAAATTTTGCAATTGTCATTTCTCTCTCTCTCTCTTCCATTCTTGTCTGCTGTACCTTGAATTTGCATTTGAATGAGGAAATAATTGTGTCATACAGAAGGAAAATCAGTTACATTTGCGAGTAATTTGCTAGTACGACTTCATTAACACTTGCCGATTGATTTCCATTTTCCAAGTTTCACAATTTTAATTCTGAATCAATCATGAACATTTTTACTTATTAAATTCTTCAAATTATTCTGACTTGTAGAATTAATTTTTAAATGTGAACATTTTTTTTGCAGTTCACATAAATAGCCTGTACGGAACATTTTTTTGTTGCTTAAGAGGACGTCGCGGTTGGGTTGTAGGCCTGTCCTGTTTTTACCATCTTTTTTCAACTTTTCTCGAAAACCAATTCATATTACGCATTTTCCACAACTATTCTCTGTTTTTATGGATTAAAAGTATGCGTGAACGTTCTATGATAATCGATTGGAGTATTTTCGCGGAAAGTTCAAAAAATTTAAGACATATAATCCGGTACTAACTTCGTTATATCTCAGTACACTATCCTATTCGTATTCTGTTAAACCTTTTGGAAATCAATCGAACCGATTGTGATGAAACTTTACGGCGTGATTTTAATCGATAAAATAAGGAGTGAGTTGCTCTGATGAATGTGAAAAATCAATTTACATTTGAATAAAGTGAGAAAAACTGATAGTAGATGATATAGGAACTTTTACAGGTATCCGACACTCATTTAAAACAGGCTCACTTCCGCTTCATCGATGAATGGGTCGTACTGATTATTTATTATTCTTCAATTTTATGAAAACTCACTATTAATCGCAAAAAAACGATGTCAATAACTGCCATTGTAAAGATGAATATTTAAAGAAAACTTGGTCTTTTGATTTTTTTCAATAAAATGAATGTTTGTTAAGTATTATTTAACAATGCGACGAAAAATCGGAAAGAGTATGCTAACAGTGTCTGCTTATTAAAAGTACTGACCCACGCACACTGTCACAATTTTTTGTTCGCAATATTTATGAACAAGATTTCTCTGAATCTGCAAAGAAAATAAAAATTTGAAACAATGTTTAATGAGTAAATTGCAAATATCAACTAATAATGAGTCACTAAATTATAGTTTAAATTACCATCCTATGTTAATTCTATAGCAATCAAACGAATCCTCTAAAACATAAGTGTCCTTTGCCACAGTTTAGTCCACATAAATATTCATTAAAAAAACTTATGCACCAAAAATCATTCTTTTGTTGCATTTAATAAATATTCATTGAATGCAACCATGCAAACGTTTAGTTTTACAAGGGTGCGGTCACATGAAACTAAAAGAGGTTCATTGTAGTAAATTTGAATCCTGGTCCTTTCAAGTTTTGGAGATTGTAATTTCAGCCTTGAAAGAGTAGTTAGAGTAAAGATAATTAGTAAGCATTGTTTAAAGATAAGGTAACCTTGAAAAAATCCGTAAAAAAGTAACGAACCGACAGAGAACATGCTGTACAAAGGATGTAAAGGTATATACATACAGCGCAAAACAATGAGCATTCGTTACACGTAGAGTTACGACGTAAGAAAGACGTAGAAAGAGAGAGAGAGAGAACTTTAATAGTAGCGCGTTCGAAAGATCACGTGGGCGGCGGTACTGGTGAAAACGAAGAAAAGGAAAAGAAAGACATGAGAGAGAGAGAGAGAGAGAGAGATCGCTCCTAAAGACCGGCAGCATATACCTCTATGAATGATTAATGCGTGGGACTGCTTAGTATGCAGGAGCGCCGCGGCTGTCTTTCTTCTTTCTTTTTCTCCTTCGCGCTCCCGGCACAATGGTTATTTATGCCTCGAAATTAATCGTAACAAGAGCCGTGCGCGCTCCCGCCAAGCAGAGGCGCCGGCCCTGGAATGTCACTCTCTTTCTCTCTCATCCCTCCTCCCCCCTGGCGCCAAGATCGATTATATTCGCTGCTTCGCGGAATCGACGACCGCACGCACTCTCGTAGCTCCGCGATAATGTGCTGGCGCCTCTGATCGATTTTTTATTATTGAAGAGATTTTTTGTCACTATTCCAGTGCACATTTTCGATTCATATAAGTTATATGCTGGATAATTTAACATCTTTTTCTGAGGCGGGAGATGAGGAGGCAATTTTAATTGTTAACAAGAATATTTTCTTTTCAATTTTCTGGCATTCAACAGATAACTAACAATTTATAGTATTGCAGCTATAATTGGTTCGTTAAACGAATGCAGAAGAACAGTTTGGGTGAACGAAACATTGAAACCAATAGGCATACGGAAGAATGATTTCGGTGAAGTTCTGAGGTTACATTCGTTACTAAAATACAGATATCCATTTTTAAGGCTTTACAATCACTCGACCTTTTGTTTTAATTTCATTTGAAAAATTTTCACTATATTTTTTTCTTTTTATTATTACAAGCTAGACTATTCATTTTGTTTCCTCTAAGAAAAACCTTGTTTTGATAATTTTCTAAAAAATTTGTTTCTTTGCTATGATTTGTTTATTATATAAAATAATTTATAGTTAGCGTCTATTGAAATCGTACTGTTTTAATTGCTTTTAGTTGTTTCATATAAATTACAATTAAAATTATATACACTTGAATATATTATTTAGAGAACGATAACTTCAATTGCAAAAGAGTGATTATATTTTTGAGAAACGCTATAAAAATAACTTATTTTATCTATATACGTTAATACCTGGAATTCTTCTAATTTTCTATCTTATCCGAATTTGATATACATCGTTATTTTGATGATACAAATAAGTTTTCTCGCTATCTTGTCATATATAGTTTAGCACACAGCATTTTACAATGTTCAAGTTTTAGTTTCTTTAATAATCGGTTTAATTTTAGAAGAGTTGCAATAATTTTCAGTTTAGTTACCATTTAATCATGAAATTATCTGAACATTATTAAAAGTGGTATTTAAGTAGAGAGAGTTTTTGTATAAATTTTATTTTCGTGGTAAAATCTTAAGAAAAGAAAGTAGACTTATTATATTCTCGTATGTATTGGACCAGAACAATTCTTTGGATAGTAGCACCAGCAACCATTCCAACCATAGTTTTCGAGGATGCAATTATTTTTTCTATGTACCCAGTATTCGACAGCTTCATCTAACAATGTCGATATGATGTTTTCATACGGTAGAACAGTAGTGTAACCAATGATCAAACCAATAATCAAACGAACAATATAAAAAAACTCAGAAAACATCTGCACGTTTTCTGAAATTATTACTTATTACTTTGTAATGTAATTTTTGTTTGATACGTCAAATAGATATAGTTTATGTTGTAAGATAACGATACTTATAAATATCATCTTGTACGAAGATTCTCTGATTAAAATTGGTAATCAATATGATTATGTTGTATCCTGATTATGTGAGACTTTATATAAAACAATATTTATGAAATAATATTAATATCTATCTAGAAGCAATTTTTATAAAAGATGAAAATCCGTGTGCTAACAGAAAAACATTTTAAACATCGCTCGTCAGAATTCATTCATGAAAGAATCTACATAAAACTGTTTTTGTTTACAGCCGGATCATAAACACTCGTAGACTATGCTAGTTATTGAAATATCTAGATAGGATATCGGTATGAATCTCAATGAATAAATTTCTATGTATTATATATGTAAGAAGATGATGAATTAAGAGAGGCTAAATAGAAATATACAAGCAATCGCTAATCGGGATGTGCCATGTCGCCACACGACCGAGTCTCCCTTAGAACTGACGCTGACACGTAGTATCTCTCGTTCAGAGGGGTGAGTTCTCTGTTTTCATACTCTATCACTCGAACCTACTTCCACGCGCTTTCCACTCTCACTTCAACCGCCTATACCCTTATGCTCTCTTACCCGCTCTTATTCACACCAACATTCCCACATATAAACATATATAAACCACAGATTTCGAAAATAAAACAAAATTGGTTTTATCCTCGATTAATATGATTTCTCACTCAGGAAAGCGAATGTGCTTTAAATCTCGTCTTATATCACATCGTATAGAAAAATAAACTTAGATACGTGTGTGCGAGAAATTGATTTTATCCTTGTGAGGTCTCTCATATTGAGATTAATGGTGAAGACTGATTTTTAATCTGCAAAGTAATTTCATTCATATGAGCCAGATTTATGATCACAAAATTATAAAATATCATTGTTCTTAATCGAGCTTCTCAAAAGATGTAGTAAAAGAACATTACCAACAAAACTAAAGCAAACAAGAATTACTTGAAAACATATTTATATTTACTTATTTTTTCGAATTTTTTAAAACTATTCATTTATACACGAAAAAACAGAATGAAAAAGTAATGTTGAATACGCAAAAGTCGCATTGGAGTAACGTCATTGCTGCTTTCGTTGCCGGTTCTGAATTCAAGAAGAGAGAAAAACAAACGGTTCAGAATGCATGCGTACATCAAGTAACCAAATGATTTTATCTATGTATAGGGATTTATTGCAGGATATATATCAAGGATTATGAGCAAAATGCGACAAGAAAAGAAGGCATGTATAGAAAGATTTCGTCCCGATTGTGTATCTATAAAAATGAAATGACATAAATGAGGGCGCGTACACATACCTATTCATTATGTCCGAGGCCGTAATGTCGACGGCGAAAAGGACGGCGATGAGGTTGCTTACAAAGCATTCGATGTAATTTACAGCAATATCAACAGCAGCAGCAGCAACAGCAGCAGCAGCAGCTCTACTTGCACCTGTCCTCTAGCAAATCCTTGACCGCGAGCACGTGTCCGTCGGCCTCACTCGTATACTCATGCACGTATATATCGTTCTCGACGTACGCAGGGACAACGATTGTTTTTGTTTCGTTCTCGACGTACGTAGGGACTACGATTTTTTTTTTCGTTCTTTAAAGAACTCGAGCGCGTCGCAAACTATATCGTTCCGAAATCTCCAGTTACAGGTGCTTACGTAATGTAGAGAAAAATTGGTACTCCAAGTTTCGTGAATCTCATACGGAACTGGTCGTCCTCGGTCAGTAAGCAATCAAGTAAGTAATAGCGGCAGCAGTGCAAAGAAAAAAAATCAGTATGGCCGTATTTTGCGCAGTAGATCAAAGACTACTGCGATGGAATAGTACTCCGAGAAAAAAAAAATTGTTTAGCTAGAGATGCTTGATTCAATGAAAAGCGTAAACTGTCGCGACGGCTAGGCGCGGGAAAACCAAAACGTAAAAGTCAAGACAACGTAGAGCCAAGAGGGATCGTTCTGAGTGTGGGCAGCAGCAGTCACAGAAGCAACCAACCGCTATACTCGCTCACTCGCCGTCACAACACTAGCTGCAGCAACTCAAGTGCTCGCCGCTGTTCTCTTCTCTCTTTCTCATGTCTGGCCTCCTCCTCCTCCTCCTCCTCCACTGCCTTCTTTACCTCCTTCTTCTTTACTCCGCGTTCGTGCATGCGTCCTCTACGGCGCTTATAGCTTACAACCAACGATCGTCGTAGCCGCCGCTACTACAGCAGCAGCGCATAGCACCAATCTAGGTGAAAGACTAGTTCTTCTGAACAGGGAGAAAGATAAAGAGAAAAAGACACACACACATGCATGCATACGTGAGAGTAGAAGAAGGCGTGTGCACATGCATGCAAGTCTCAGACTTGGCGCCACATTGTAATTGTGCTACCTCCACAATAATTTTGTGGTCAGATGCTCAATCTAGTTTTCATAAACCAACAAAAAATATTTTCTTGTTCTTATTTCTTTTCTCATATAGTTTCAATCTTTCTAAAATTTTTTTTTTTAATATTGACTGAAAACTGTCGAAGGATATATTTGATGATAATTTTGTATGCACGGTAAAACACGAGGAAATAATAAACATTAAATTAGATACTGTAAGAAATGTTTCTTAGATATTTAAAATATTTTGGTAAGTTTGAAACATATTTATTCAAGTGACTGAAGTTTCACACGATCTTGACTCGTATGTTTAATGAGCTTATTCAAGATGACTCATAGATCGCAAGTGGGTTTGATGATATTTCAGCGCTACGCTGTTTCTTAAAAAAAAAATACATTAGCAAATACAAGCACGTGTGTAACACAAGATGCTTTTTGTTTCAATATCACTTCAATTGGTAATGCCAATATAAACTGAGCAAAGAAATAATGTTAAAGCTTATATTATTTTAATATAAATTAAAATATCGCTGCAGTTTAGCATACCAATAATTCACAAATAAAATATTTGTTTCTAAATTAACATGTTCTTCTATAATTCTATTGATGTAAGAAAAATTCGTTGTAACAACAAAAGAAATCAAATATCCGTACATATCTATTTTAATATCTTTTGAAAAATGCTGTGCAGAGTTTATTTAGTCTATATTATTATTATTTGCTGAATATTGAAATGTAATTTACGGAAAAAGAACCATATAAATGAAAAGTATACTTTGAATTGTTATTATTGTATGCCCAATTTTCCAACTGTAATATATTTAATTTCGAAAATTTCTTTGAGTATTTCAACAGTTAAAAGTATTTTATTTACAGAAAAATTTTAATTCTAAAACATTTTTGTTTTGATTAGTTAGAACTTTATTGCGATTAATTCAGATTAATTTGCTTTTTTACCTAGAAGATTGTGTGATACTTTAATTTTTTTTAATAAGACATATTTTAACATGAAATTAGAATTATCTTGTTAAAATAAAAAAAAATTGTCGTTTCATTAACACATATTTCCATGTATAACTATTTCGCTAAAAGTCTACTACACAGGTTCTAAAATCATAAATGTTTACACACATTTAGAGTGCTTGAGAAGATATATATTATTTCAGGCTCATGTGTTCAGCTTGTGCTCACATGTTGGTAAGTTGTTTGCTGTAGGTATAGTGGAGCTGCTCACACAGGTCCATTATCATGGCATGCGACGTTACACTTACATATTTCTCAGAAAAACAACTAAGTATTGCTGCTTAAACCTTGTTGATATTTTGAATTAATAACTCATTTTTATTTCATACACTGCAAAAATATTAGCTGATATTATTAATAGTAAATGAAGAAACTTTGTTTCGTTTGTTATTTTCAATTATCAAATATTCTTTTCTTGAATCGTATATTTGACTGCTTTAATTACGACGTTCTTGAACTATTACCATGTATTGCAAGATTAAAATTTTTTTTCAACTGTAAAATAACTGTAACTGTTCAACTGTAAATAGCAATATAAAGATCATGACGGTAAGGGATTTCTATTAATGATCTGATTGATGTATCGCTACGATACCATTTATTAATTTTAATAATAAACAACGTTAAATGTTGAATTTGATATCAGTAGTCTTATTACATTTTATAATCGAAGTTTTGAAAAAAATTTATTTTACTTTTTATTCGGAAAATGACGACCCAACAGGTAATGAACAAATTCATATTAAGTTAATTAAATGCTACAATTATTAATGATTTTTAACAACTAAACTCGCTGTTGAAAAAGTATGTATTTATTACCATACTTCTAGTTTTAAGAAGCATCATTAAACTCGTCAAATATATTTCTAATGTTCGGAAAATCATGTGATCGTCGCCGGCTCACGATATATTCACTTTATAAGTTTCTCCGCACAAGCAAAGCTGGTTTCGTCATCTCTCGAGTGGAAATCTAGACTCGCTATGATCCCCCTCTAAACAACGTTACACGAGTGGACGAACATGTGCTCGAACGTTAAATTGCTTTTACTTTTGTGTAGGTGAATGTGAACTCTCAACGGTCAGACTCTCCCAGCTATAAAAGTGCGCACAACATCGCCTAGCACTAAGCGAAGACTTTTTCGTAACATGTTTTTTTAATGCTTGTTTTATAGACATTGTAATGTTACTCTAACAGCGGATACCGCGAAAAAAGTTGCGATTTCTTCTACTAAAATATATGAGTTTTAATTTTTGTCGCAATATTTCAAAATTAATATGAGTGAATATCTTTCTAGTTCAGTACTAAAATATTCGAAATCTATGAAAATATCTATTAAATGAAAATAACATTAAATTATTATGGAACATTTAGTATTTAGTTGAGGGAAGGATATAGCGATTAATTGTGCTCTCACAATCCACAACTAAACTAAATTTACAGCAATATAGAGATAACAAATTTTTTTAATATTAAAAATTTTCTATATCCAATCGTTTGTTTTATTTTCACGAACAAGCTTACTTTTTATTAAAAAAATTAATTTCAAATAGGAAACCAAGTGAAGATATCAATTAACAATTGATTCCGGCTTAAATTATTACTCCTTACATATAGCGTAGGTAATGATAACAAGTAAATGCAAAGTTATCAATTATAGTATGTTCCATTTGTTTATTTCAATTAGTATTTATCATAAACGTGATACCGTATTTCTATGAATTCAACATTTTATCTCTGTATTATATTTACAATTTAGAAAATCTTTTAAAACAGAAAGAGTGCTTTTAGGAAACAAAAGAATAATTAGTGTATAGATTATCAGTAGTTTTACCATTTTTCTGTAATACGTGCGAATCTAGGAATAGGTGATATGAAAGTCAGAAAAAATGATCTCGCGGTGGTCAGTCTGATTTGTAGTCTCCTCGCGCAAATCTACGCTGCCAGCAAACTCAACTGTTACGGCGTTTACCATGGTAAGCTAATCCGGCAATCAATTTCGTGAGCTCTACCGTTTTATTAATATTTTCCCTTTTTCATTCCTGCTTTCATTTTGTGGTTCGAGATCACAGAATAGCATTTTCTTTTTTCAATTAATACAAAAAGTTATATCGCACACAATGGTTTAATGAATACAAATGTACGCAAAATTACCAAAGAAAATATATTTCAAAATATTTAAATCATAGAAGATAAGTTACATGATTATTATTGATTATAAAAGCTGAAAAAATATTACGATAAATTTTTTTTTTGAAGGGGAGTTATCAAAAAGGTCTTTGATATTCTAATAATTTCGGCGAATATGTTTACAAGGTTTTAAGAAGACGATATCATTCGGTCTAACATGTATCTTTCTATAATCTCAAGTTTTTTTCGTCAAATCCGTCAAAATATATATGATTATTGTATAATAAAATTAACTCACGAAATAAAGGATGTAGGGTTTATATAATATCATGCAATATAAGTTAAGATGAATATCTATTGATGGAAAAGAATATGTTGAAAAACGTTGAACTTATCATAAGTTATGTAATAATTAACTTCTTGAAATAAGATAAGACGTGTAAAAACGTATTATTGACAAATTTTTAAATAATATAAGATATAATGATTCAACTTTTATTAATAATTTTTTTCACTTTTCGTTAAATACGTTTGGTTTATATATTTTGTACATCCATAAACAGGCCTCTTAAAATCAAATCGAACATTTTCACTTTCATCTTGTTTAAACTTTTTTTGATCTTCCTTGCTCGGGCCTTTTTCGAAAACCAACTAAACAAGTAACTTCCACATTGCTTTCCAGTAGTCACCAATCCTTCCCTAAATAATAAGTAAATATTACAAAATTGTATTATAAGCCTTTTTTCAAAACGTAAAGTAGTCTCCTCATTCTGTGGCAATAAAAACGTATTATCTTTAAAGCTAACTTCGTAGCGGCCTGCTCAGCCATACATCCAGGAGATGCACTGTCGTTGTTCGGCGTAGAATAGCGCGCGCTGCGGTTCCTCGATCCCTCATATATTTAAGTTTATCATAACTAAAAAGCTACTGAACGATCAGCCAAGAGAATGGGAATTAAATGTAGGTAGAACTGATCTTTCTGGAAGAGGCTTTTCATATATTTCGATATAACTTCACATTAGGTACATTCGTCCAATCACCGAATGTAAATCTTTAAAGTATATTTTGGAAAGACAATGTGTGAAATCTTTTTGAAATAAGATTCTGTAAATTATGTCATCTGAATCAAAGAAGAAATTATTATTTTGTTTAAATAGTTTTTATCATATCGAATTTATGCTAGATAACAGAAACAAAATAAAAAACATCATTGAAAAACGTCATTATAACAATGTTATTTCGTAATGTCATTATACGTCTTTCAATGTAGAATAAAAAATAACGTTATTTCTGAAAAATTAAGTCCGCTTGAAAAATCACCCCCCCCCCCCCCCCCCAATAACTTCATTTGAATAATATTCAAAATTTGCTGAAATTTTTTTATATAAATATCCATTCTGGCAGTAAAGTATAAGTTCGATAATGTAATATCAGCATCTTTACTCTTTAGTATAATAAGACGTGTAAAATAATTCCATTGTGTT